ACCCCTGTTGCCCTCCACCACTTGGGCATGCATGTCGCTAACTAGCACCTCCTGTGTGCCAGTGTCACCCCATAGAAGGGGTGGAAGTGAAGCACCCTGGTCCTGGTGGAGGAGAGGTCCACCAAGGTAACTAGCCCATCCCCAATTAGACAGAAGGCTCCCAGTCCTGAGTGGCCAGTCCCCCAGCTCACCGCACTCACTTGCCCCTGAGGCACCTCAGCTGGGGCTGGGGCTTCTGGCTCCCACCATGCTCAACCCCCACAGAGGGCTCCCTCCGCACCCTCTTCTCATCATTCAGGAGGCCTGGCAGGAAGTGAGAAGGGCCAGCCAGAGGGAGACCAGATGTCTCCTCCAGTCTGTTCCTGCCCGTGTGCTGGACACCCAGGTGACCCCCAGCTACTTGGTCCTCAGAGACCCCTCTCCCTGAAACCTCCACTCATGGCTGAGGGTGTCATCCCAACACCTCAGGCTGCCTGTGAGGGCGGACCCCAAAAGGAGAAGGCACAGCTGAATCCAGAGGCCCAGCGCCACATGCAGGAGGGGACCCAAGAGGGAGCCGGGGAGAAAGCCTCAGCAGTCATCAGAGTGGGGGACGTAGAAACCAGGATGGAGAGGGTTGGACAACAGGTGATGGAGGTGTGGGTGCTTTGAAGGGAAGCATGACTGAGGTCCAGGGGAGATTCTTCTTAGTTTTTACAGCTAGGAGTATCTTGGAACAGGGTGGGTGCCAGTGGACAGCTGGACCAGAGGGAGGGCTGAGGCGTGGAGGGAGTGGCTAGAGCTTTTCATGACTCATTGCTGCAGGAGGTAAGCAGGTGCCCAGTGGGCAGGCCTGATGTGGGTACATCTGGAGGCCTCTGGTTTTCAGTGTGGTCAGCCAAGAGTATAGGGGAGCATGAGGTACAGCCACACCCTTCTCCCTGGTTCAGTCTTTCCCCTCTCTGGGCTCTAGGGCACCTGGCCTGCCCCTCCTCTGTCCCACTCTTGAGGGCAGGGACCACTGATCCTGGCCCCATTCCAGTTTCTCAGCCCCTGAGCCAGGGCCCAGGCAGAAGGCTGACCTTCTGCTAGGCATAATGGCACATGCCTGTGATCCCAGCTGTAACCCAGCTGGGGGTGGAGGGTTGCAAGTTAGAGGTCAGCCTGGCAACTTAGCAGGACCCTGCTTCGAAATAAAATTCTTGGAAAGGGCTGGTGCAGGAGGCAGCTCAGCAATACAGCTTGCCTAGCATACAGGAGGCCTTAGGTTCAAGGAGAAAGAAAGAGGAAAACTGTCCTTCTGTCCTGCCAAGTGCCACTCAGACTACACCTGGAGCACCCATGTGGTTTGTGCAGCACTAGCATGGACACTAGGGGGTCTCCATGGCCTGTACCCAGAGAGGAAAATGTGAGCCATTCTCATCCCATGTGGGGCAGGTGTACCCTGCGCTGGATCTAAGAGAGAAGCACAGGAGCGTGGACAGGAAAGTCCATGTGACTCTGAGACCGGAGGTGGCCCCCCAGGTACTCCAGGGCCAGCCCTCCCAGTAGCACTACAGGGAGGGACATGTGGGGAAACTTGGCAGGTGTCACCTGCCCGCAGACCCCACAATAGTGGGGTGAGGAGCAAGCGTGACCCACAATGTCCTGCACACAGGGGACCCATGACACCATGAGTGGGGTTTGGAGGCAACAGAGCGGGTGGTGGCGGGCAAAAGGCAATTGGACCCACTGATGTCTCTTTCTGTTCTTCCCACCCCACCCTTCTCCAAAAGGACTTGGCAAATCTTTCTTTTAGATTGAGGTGCAGTTTTATAGAGCTGGTCCCGCATCTGAGGCTCTGCATCTGCAGGGTTAACTGAGGATTGAAATATTTGGGAGAAAATTGCGTGTGTCCTGAACCCTGGAGTCCTATTCCCTGAATGATACACTTTAGCAGCCATCTACACCATGCTACATTGTGTCGGGTATCACTGTAATCTAGAGATGATTTAAAGTTTTAGGGGACAATGTGCCATTTTATGCCAGGGACTTGAGTAACTGCAGATCTTAGTATCCATGGGAGATCTAGGAGCCAGTCCCCACCCTGTGGATACTGAGGGGTGCTGTGTCTTGAACACATCTTATTGAGGGTGCATGTCTTGTATCTTTGGGGTAAATAGCCAAATATGAGCAGGAATGGGTTTCATGTGATTCTTGCCCCGATCACATCCCTACTCCAGAAGCTGAGCTTCTCCTCCTGGGCCCTAAGGTGCCCCTATTTAGGAAGCCCCTGTGCAGGCCTGGGGCCACCTGCTCTGGGGTACATCCCAAGGCCCTAATTTAGTATCCAGCAATTCTAGTCTCTGCATTCTCCAAAAGCACTGGGGGCCTCCACCAGTGTCCTAATGCACCCAGGATCCCTGCATTCCCAAGGGTGGGGGGGTGTGGGCCCTTCTTTTGCCTCCCACATCCGTCAGTTTGCTCGGTGCTGTATCAGGTACACGGATGGGAAGGGCCCTGGCTTTTCCTTAATATCAAGTTTCTTTCAAAGCAGAAGTGTCCTGCCCCTCAGTGCACATGTGCCCCCAAAGCAAAAGGCCTATATGTGCCCCAGGGCAGGGCAGCCTCCCCACTGTGTTCCCGGCTGGCCCTAACCACCTGTCCTCCTTGCTAGGTCACTGGCCATCGGGCCCCAGTACACCTCTCTGAGCACACACCCCATCCTCTGTGCCAGCATCCCAGGCCTGGTGCCCAAGCAGCTGCGCTTCTGCAGAAACTACGTGGAGATCATGCCTAGCGTGGCTGAGGGTGTCAAGCTGGGCATCCAGGAGTGCCAGCACCAGTTCCGTGGCCGCCGCTGGAATTGCACCACTGTGGATGACAGCCTGGCCATCTTCGGGCCTGTGCTCGACAAAGGTACCTGCCCTGCTACCATGTGTCTCTCAGGGACTTGGGAAGCCTGTGAGGGAGGGGCAGGCTGGCCTGGGATGTGCAGATGCAGGGTCCCTGGGTGTGCCTCCTCCTCCCTCCCTCTCAGGAGCCAGGGCTTATAGGGAGAAAACCCCAGGAAGGGAGAGGAGCTGGGGCTGTGGGTTGGTCCAGGAAAGAGAGGACGGTGGGAGACTGGGTGTTGGTTGGCTGCTGCCAAAGAGCAAATTAACCCATAATGTAGTGGCTAGAGCAATGATTACCATGTGCCATTGCAGCCTGCTGGCCAGGGGTGCATCTGCCCATGTCATGAGGCCAGCCCAGCTGGACACCATGAAGGGCCTACTCGACGGGGGCTTCTTAACAGCCTGGGGCCTGGATCTCAGGGCAGATATAGGGAGAGAGAGGAAGAGACAGACAGAGACAGAGACAGGCAAAGAGAAACAAAGAGACTGAGACAAGGGACTAGGGGACAGAGACAGGGAGAAACGGGTAGGGAGACAAAGACACAGAGACCCAGAAACAGACACAGCCAGGCAGAGAGACAGAGGGAAACAAAGAGAAACAGGAGGCAAAGGTAGAGAGAGAGACACAGAGGGGGACCATGGGAGAGAGGACACACAAAATGCAAGCTTTTGTGGCTTTGGAACAAAACTGAGGAAAATCAAATGATTGGAATCACTTCTAAGCATACAATCCTGTGCATTAGCACATTCATAGAATTGTTGACACAACCTCTCATTCCAGAATGTTTGCATCACCCTCAAAGAAACCCATGCCCATGAGTGGCCCCTCCAGGCCCTCTTCCCCTCCAGACCCTTGGCCACTGGCCTGCTGCCTGTACCTATGGACTCTCCTGTTGTGGACATTGCCTACAGCATGGTCACTCACTGTGCGACTTCTGGGGCTAGCTTCTTCCCTCAGCATGGCGGTTCAAGGGACGTCTGTAGGAGCATGTCAGTACTTTGTGGCTTTTAGTGGATGAATACTCTACTCTCCCAGGAAGGATGGACCACATTGTCTATCCCTTCCCCAGTTGGTGGACACCAGGGTTGTCTCCACCTTTTGACTATGTGAAGAGTGCTGCTAAGAACAGCATTTCTTGGGCAAGCATTTCTTTTTGAATCTTTGGGGAATAAAATCAGGAGTGGTGATTGCTGGGTCATATGCTAATTCTATACTTAGTTTTTCAAGGAACTGCCCAATGTTTTCCATAGTAGCTGAACCATTGTGCATTCCTACCAGCAATGCCTGAGGATGCCGATTTTACACATCCTCAGCAACACTCAGTTTTGCTTGTGAGCCATTGTGGTGTATGTATGAGGCATCTGTCTGTGTTTCATGTGCACACGCCAATGGTAAAGTGTGCTCATTGGTTTTCTGCATATTGTATTTGAAGAATTGTCTGTTCAAATCCTTGATCCATTTTTTAATTGAATCATTTGTCTTCTTATCATTGAGTTACATGTGCTTTTTATATATTCTGGATACTAAACGTTTATCAGATACATGATTTGCAAATATTTCCTACCATGTGTATCACTTTTGTGATAGCGGCCTTTGATGCACAAAAGAGCTTACTGTTGATGAAGTCCAATAAATTTAGATGTCATATCAAAGCAAGCATTTCCTAAGCCTAACTCACAAAGATGCACAGCTATGCTTTCTCTCTTACCTTCAGGCCAGGTGAGTGAGCTACTTTGAGCTTCTTTATGCATTTGCTATCAAGTGGGGATCCGGTCACATTCCTCTGCCTGTGGAATCCTGTCATTCCAGTACTTTCTGTTGAAAGGTTGTTCCTCTCCCTCTGAATGATCTTGACACCCTGGTCAAGAATCAGTTGGCCAATTCCATTCCATTGGCCTATGTGTCTATATTTTTGTGAATACTACACTATTTTGTTTGTTGTAACTTTGGAGGATGTTTTGGGCAATGTGTGTCCCAACTTTGGATTTCTCTTCCAAAATTATTGTGGCTATTGGAGTTCCTTGCAATTCTATTTTTTCCACTTTGTTGTTGTTGATGATGATGCATTATAGTTGTTTTTTTTTCTAATAAACAAAATTGTATTTACTTAGAAGCATTCAGAATGTCAACAAAACAGCTGCAACTTTTTTTTTTTGCAATTACAGAGTGGTATTCAGTTAACAGAACAACAATTATTTCATATAAGCTGCATCAGAGACAACTGAAGATGAAAAACTACCGTCCCCATATATAACTAATTTGTGCTGTGCACCAACAAGAACCTGCTTTAAATTTCCATGCCAATTTACAACCCCCATACTGTACCAGGCAAGGTTAGTGGCTATTGAAAATACCACCAGGACAGGGCTATCTAAAGACACATTCGGTAGTGTGTTAACTATACAAAAAAAGACACTGTACAGTTTAAAAACAAATCTTACACAGCCTTACATTTCAATTTTTTTCTTTAAAAGGAGTGAGTTGTGTACAGGGGGGTTAAATGCTTTATAGACAAGAAAAAAAAAACTGCGCTAGAACCAACTTATTCATCATCATCATCTTCTTCATCTTCATCTTCTTCATCTTCCTCTTCCTCCTCATCCTCTTCATCTTCCTCATCTTCCTCTTCTTCCTTCTTTTTCTTGCTTTTTTCAGCCTTGACAACTCCCTTTTTTGCTGCATCAGGTTTTCCTTTAGCTCGGTAGGCAGCAATATCCTTTTCGTATTTTTCCTTCAGCTTGGCAGCTTTCTTTTCATAAGGCTGCTTATCATCTGCAGCAGTGTTATTCCACATCTCTCCCAGTTTCTTTGCAACATCACCAATGGATAGGCCAGGATGTTCTCCCTTGATTTTGGGGCGATACTCAGAACAGAACAAGAAGAAGGCCGACGGAGGCCTCTTGGGTGCATTGGGATCCTTGAACTTCTTTTTTGTTTCCCCTTTAGGAGGGATATAGGTTTTCATTTCTCTTTCATAACGGGCCTTGTCCGCCTTTGCCATGTCTTCAAATTTTCCTTTCTCTTTAGCAGACATGGTCTTCCACCTCTCTGAGCACTTCTTAGAAAACTCTGAGAAGTTGACTGAAGCATCTGGGTGCTTCTTCTTGTGCTCCTCCCGGCAAGTTTGCACAGAGAATGCATATGATGACATTTTGCCTCTCGGCTTCTTAGGATCTCCTTTGCCTATGTTTAGTTATTTTTTTAACACAGTAGTGACATTAACTTCCCATAAAACCAGACGGGAACATGGCAATGATAGCCGATTCCTAGAAGTGGCTATGCCAACCAAAAGACGGTCCTTCGGTGTAATCTCAAAAAGCCTGGATATTCCATATATGTTATGTATATCTTATCTGCCTGTGTCGGTTCTGAATTTCTTACGGGTCATTTAAACAATTTTTAAATCTGCAAAGCCATTTTTAAACAACAAAACCAAAGGTCAAAAAAACTTATGCTGCCAAATTGTTGATTTGCGGTAGACACAAAATAAATAAGGAGACCAAGTGAGTTGACCTTTTAAAATTATAGGCCGTAAAAAAAAAGGAAAGAAAAAAGAAATCATCGTGCATCGAAAGTTTTCCCGATTCCTTAAAAAAAATACCCTCTTTGCATAAAACTTTGCTCGGAGGGAGGAGCAGCAAGCCCCAGGGCTCGGGACCAGGCTGGGGAGGAGGTGGCACTGCAAGGCAGCCTCGTTTCCTATCGGTTTGGCCCTGAGATGTATTTCTGTTCTGACTAAACACGTCCGGTCTGAAGTTTCTTCGAGTAAACAAGGATGAGGGACAAAAGCCACTCCTGCTCGCGGTTCCGCGGCCCCCTCCCCCCGCCGGGGGAGTGTTTCTGGGAGCCGTGAAAGTTGGGGTGCCTCAGCGCGGGGCGGGCGCCCCAGACTCCAGAACATGTTGATGGGTTTGTTATTATATATACAAACGTGCACACAACATGATAATATAATTTGGCCAAGGTCACTCTACCTTGCAATTCTATACAAATTGTAGATCAGCTTTTCCATTGCTGCAAAAAGTCAGTTGAGCTTCTGGTGGGACTGAGTGAAGCTGTGGGCTGCTTTGGGATGGTCCTGCCTTGCCAACCACACTGCGTCTTCCCTCAAGAGCGCAGGATGGAGCACCCTCTCTGTGCCTACTTATATGCTGTGGCTTTCAGGACACAGGGCTTGCACCTCTGTGGTTAATGTATTCCTGAGTGCTCTGTTCTCCTGGTGCTGTTGTAAATGGAATTGCTGCCTGATTCTTTTTCCAGGTTGTTCATTACTGATCTTTAGAGACACATCTTGTCAGGTGCCATGGTGCATATCTGTAATCTCAGCAACTTGGGAGACTCAAGACAGGAAAATCAAAGTTCAAGGCCAGCCTTAGCAAGACGCTGCCTCAAAATAAAGAGTAGAAAGGGCTGGGGATGTAGCTCAGTGGTAGAGTCCCTGGGTTCAATCCCAGTACCCCAAAAAATTATAAGATAAGAGTTTTCTGTGCTTTGAGTCTGTATCCTGCAATTTTGATTATTGGCTGTGAAGTGTGTGTGTGTGTGTGTGTGTGTGTACTGTTTGCACATCTGTGTGCATACCGTTTGCCCCTTGTAATCCTCTAGGGACAGGTAGAAGAGAAGCAGGACTACTCTCCCCTTACCTCTTTCCCTAACTCCTCTGGCTTGGACCTCCAGAGCCCTGCTGAAGAGAAGTGGTGAGAGTGGCAGCCTGCCTGGTCCCCCACCAGGCCGGAGGCCTTCAGCCTTCACCACTGTGTGCCACTTGGTTACAGGTCCCCACGAGGTCCCCAGGTGGCAGAAGTTTCTGTACTTCACTTTTGAATGTTTTCAAGGAAAACCCTGTGCAGTCGCTGCTCTGCCCCCACAGAGTTCAGAATTCAGCAAAGCAGTGTCTTGACTCAGAGAGATGCCAGGTCCATTTTGGGATGCTGGCTGCCACTTGTCCCCAGACCTCCCTGTGCCAGTCTCAGCCCCCACACCCACACCACCCTTTGCTGGGCGCTGTGCCCTTTGGCTATTTCCAGAGGTCTGACTGTGGGGTCCGGCAGTTTGGGCTTGCTTTTCCATGGCTCCTGGAGTTTCCTACCAGGTCCTGGGGTGTGAGCAGACCACAGACCCCACCACTCGATGGCATAGAGGTCACCATGGAGGAGCATCATGAAGTTTGCAGTGTAGTCAGCTCCTGAAGGGGCCATCGCTTCCTGGAGCAGGGCCCAGGAACACACTGTCCATGGAGGCACCCAGGTGACCAGCAGGAGGGAGGAGCTTGGGCAGAGGGCCAGGTCGTATGGGAAGGGCTCACCAGGGACCCTGCATCCTGCAGTGTTCCTCACAGCATGGCCACAGCTGGGGTCCACTTCCCGTCTCCACAGCCCTTCTCCTCTGGCTTCCTGGGCTTGCGCCCACAGCCCCAGCCTTCCATTGCTCAGGTCAAAAGCCTCGGGCTCCCGATGAGCCTCTAAGGCTCAGAGCCCCTTGGCAACACCTTCAGCCTCCATCCAGAGCCTGGTACTTCCCACCATGCCCTCCCACAACCCAGATCCCAGTCACTGCAGGCGCTCCCATGAGACCCCTTGGCCATGCCCCATGACCAAGAGAGCTGGTGTTCCTCCCTTGACAGCCATGCCACGCTGCCCACCTGCCTCCTTGGCCCCGTCCCGGCAATGCACAGAATGTGTGTGCCCCCGCACTCCTAGCCCCCCAGGCCACGGTATCAGGAGGTAAAGCCTGTGGGAGGTGATGAGGTCATGAGATGGGAGCTTCACGATGGGATCAGTGTCCTTATCTGGGGATCCCAGGGAGCCCTCCCCCAGGATCCACCTCTGTCCTCACCATGTGAGGACAGTAAGATGGGTGGCCATGGGCCAGAAGCAGCCCTCACCAGGCCGGAACCTGCCAGGCCGTGACCTTGGGCTTCGGCCTCCAGAACTGGAGCAGCACATCTGTGTTTCACACCACCAGGGCCAGCGTCCTTGTCAGGCAGCCCAAGTGGACCAAGACACTCCCTGACCCGTCCACCCGTGGGCCTCCTGGCTGCTTCTCAAACTCGAGGCACAGTTTACTCCTGACTCACACCAGGGAGGGCTGCCAGGAGCACTCTTCCCACTCTGTCTTTACAGATCACCACCCGGGTCCCACGGGGCCCTGTCCTCATGCCAACAGGTTTTGTCATACATAGCACCCCCACCCCCAGTGCTTCTGTTCCCCTCACATGGCTTCTCAGTCCACCAGCCCTGCCTCAATTTTCCTTCCCATGTACAGTGTCAGTGCAGCCCACCCTGCCCAAGGCCAGGGGAAGCCCACCTTGCACACACTGTCTGATACCCAAGGAAGGAGCAAGTGGCCCTGCCATAGCCCAGCAGCTGGGATTCAGGAGGTTGGGTGTCCAATCGAGGAGCCAGCCCTGCGGGCCACAGGCATTGGTGGAAGCCAGCTGAGGAGGCCTGTGTGTGGCTGGTGCAGCCTGGCTGGGAGAGTCTGCACCCTGGTGTGGCCATGCCCCACCCCCATCCATCCAGGATGGCAGTCCGGTTGGAGGTAGAGGAAGAGACTGGAGCTGGGGGCCTGAGGCCCCTGTGCCCTTGAAGGAGAGTGGCTCACGTCCTGGACTGTCAGCGTCCTGTCTATGAAGTGGGAGAATGCTGCAGCCTGCCACTTCACAGAGCTGCTGGTCAGGTGTCACAGACTTGATCGCAGCTTGGTTCTGGAATTGGAGGAGTTGGGTCCTCAGGGCCACATGGCTCCCCAGGAATGTCAGGGTATGGGGGTGTTACTTGTGTAGGCATGTGCACTTGAGTATGGGATGTGTGTATTGTAGTGCGTGCAGTGCTGACACACAATGGTCCGTGCACATGTGTATATATTGGCCATACACAGTTATCACGTGTGTGTGTCTTGGTGTGTGTGGGTGCAGGATGTGCATGCATGTGGCACACACATGTGCTACAGTGTGTGCTGTGCATACAGGTAGCACTGTGTCTTGGTGTGTGTGGGTGCAGGACGTGCATGCATGTGGCACACACACCCGCTGTAGTGTGTGCTGCACATACAGGTGGCACATGCAGCTTGGTGTGTGCTATGCACGTGTGTACATGGTGCGGAATGGTGGCCCGGGGCAGGGAGAAGTGTGCCACGTGTGCTGCTGCCAAGCAGACCCAGACAGGGTGCTGGTGTCAGGGGGGTGTATGGCTCGAGAGCCAGGTAGAGTTCCCAGGGCCTTCCCCTCCCCAGAAAAGGAGTAAGCAGCAGGGATTTGGAAAGAAGGCAAGAAGCCTGTCCACCTGGCAGCTAGCCCAGGTGGTGGAGGAGGGTGTGCGGAGTGGGGTGAGGAGGGGACACCATCCTTCCCTAGAAGCCCTGTTGCCATCCAGGGAGCCTGGAGGCATGCCACACCAGTCAGGGTGTCTCTCAGGAGAGGGGAGGATACCTGCATGATTCCATAACTGCTGTCCTTGGGCCAGAAGAGAAGATGGCCCTATGACCCCATTTCAGTGAGGGGCTGCAGGGAGCAGGTAGACGAACTCCTGTAGGGCTGCCACTCAGACAGCAAGTCTGTCCCCAAGACTAACCCTCGGGAGCACAGCTACCAGGGCCTGGACTGGACCACAACCTTGGAAAGGCACAGGTTTGCACACCAGGGCCCTAGACTGGAGATTGACTTTGGGACCAGCTGGATGAATGCAAACCCCAAAGTCAGCCTGTGGCCTCATCTCAGCCAGCTGGAGGAGCCTGCAGACGTGTCCTTCTCTGAGCCCCTGGCATGCCTTGGGACTCATCTTCAGGGCTGGGCTGTATTCCTGTGTGGCTAGACCACACTTTGCTTATCCACTCGGATGTTGATGGACATTTGGGTTGTTCTCTCTTCTGGCCTATTGTAAACAATGCCACTCTTTGTGGGGGTGTATGTTTCCAGTTCCCTGGGGAATACAGCCAGGGCAGTGTTGCTGGCCACTGGGGACCACTGGCATTCGAGGAACAGCTAAACGTCTGCAAAGCATCTGCGTCCTTTCACCTTCCTTCGGCCAGAGATGAGGGCTCTGACTTCCGCTCCATCTCACCAGCACTTGCTGTTTCTGGCTTTTGCTCTGCTCTGAGCTCCCTGCTCCGTGAGCAGGGGTGTCTCACTGAGTTTTCCCTTGGATTCCCCAGAGGCCCGAGGGTGTGGAGTGTGTTCTCCTGTGTTCATTAGCCATC